ACCAGGAGCTGAAGAGAGAGGTCCGATATGGATCCTGTGGGAGGTCTTGGCCCCTGAACTCCAGAAGGATTCATATCTAGGGTTCAGAGTTAACGAGTTGAGGAATCTGTATTATAATTTCTTCTGTTATCCCTTACTTTTCAGCACAGTATTTGTTTTTAGTCATGAGACATGATTTGGGCTATGATTTGCGCTAAGTGGCCAAGGGTTATAGAAAGGGAGGTAGGCAATAGCCTTAGAAAGCCAAAGTCAAAAAGATTAGAGCGTCCATGAAGAATAGAACAGCTGACTGGGCCTGGCCCCAGTTGCTGTACCTCATGGTTAAGAAACTTTCCATCAAAAATATTCCACTTTAGTTAATACCTATCCTCTACAAGCACATGTTAAATGGAAGTCACCGTACGTTATCCCTGAGCAAAGAAATGGGGAAATTCCTCTCAGAAAAGGCAGGATGAGGCCTTGAGAAAAGATATTCCCATCCCAACAGGAACTCAGCACAGCCCTATGTGTCCCTTCTGACTGCATGGGTCACTCATTCTTGTAACCGCCATTTTATTCCTGGGAAGAAAGAACCAAAATGAGAGACGCTGAATGACAGGATTTGGTTGCTGACAGGATGACTATGGAGAAAAACCATAGAACCTTCTTGTTTCCTGTCTTCCTTATCCATCCTCCCCACTCCATCTCAGTGAAAGTCATTATTTCCCAGTTCAGATTTCACATGTCAACCAAAAAATGAGAACTGCTTTATAAACACTGGTCCTATCATGCCAGGCACTTGGCAAGAAGTTACAAGACTCTGCAGTCTCTACTTGCTTTTTATTGCGGAACAGCACATTCCTGGAGACCATGTCATAAAGTGGATCATTGAAAAGCAAATTACATTTTCCCACAGGAACCATGTTATAATTAGAGGCTGTATTCCTGACAAAGGACTTGGCTTCATGTAAACAGTAGACATGAACAAAAATACTTCACCAAAGCAAAGACTCAAGAACCGTAAATCCTTATAATTGTTTAAAATAATAAAATTTTCTCCAAGTAGTATAAACCAGGCAGGATTAGAGGGAGTACACGTTGATTATTCAGGGACTCCAGTGTACCATAAAGTGTACAATAAAATAGAACTACTGTGTCATAAATTAGAACCTGAAACTAACTTTAACATAGTCATTACACACTTAATTAACAACGGGAAGGCTGTGGAGTACCATGGTTAAAATGTGGCATTGTGCATTAGGGGATCTTATCTGCAGACTTGCCCTCTAGACCCGGAGCTCTGGGAGGCCAGAGGCTGGACCTACACATGGTGGTGGGGAGAGCCTGTACAGAGCCTGACTCCAAATCATTTTTACAATGGTCAGGTTTGGGTTATGGCTTGGAGTAAGTAAATCATCTTGTGTGGGTTCTCTCTGACCTGTAAAGTCTGTAAGGTCCCTATGAACTCCACAATTCTAGGACTGCCATTTTGTTCTCTTAGAATTTACAGTAGTCTCTGGGGGTGGTCACCTATTACTTTGGTGGACCTCAGTATGAAACTAGAAGTATTTATCCCCTTGAGTCATCCCACATTCTGGGCTTGGCTGTGTCAATGGCTTCGGTCACTTGGATTTTAGCATGCAAGATACAAGCAGAGGCTTAATAAGTGCTTGCACATCGGGGCTTGTTCCCTTGGAACACTCCCTCTTGGAACCCAGGTACCATGCTGTGATGATCCCAAGACCCATGGAAAGGTACATGGAAGAGAACAAAGACCTTAAGGTAGACCACCCTGGCTGAGCATCCCGCCAACCACCAGCACCAAGTGCTGGTCCTGAGAGTGAGCATCTTGGATGTTACAGCTCACCTGAGCCCCCAGGAGACAGCAGCCCCAGCTGACATCATAAGGAGCAGAAACCTCCCAACTGAGCTCATTCAACTCATGGCATCATGAAAGATAATGAAACAATTGTTGTTTCCAGACTCTAAATTTGGGGGTAGAATTTTACAGCGAGAGCTAAATGAATCTCCAAGACATGACTTAAATGGCTTTAGGCTCTTGTAAAAACACTCCATCCAAGAGTCAGTAAATGATGTCTCTTTTTCTCCCTGTGAATTTTCCTATACTGGGGAACATTCAAAATATTCCAATTATCTTAAAGTAGACTCAAAATACTGTAGTAGTATTCCGTAGCTATTTGTAGTAGATAAAGATGTTTCCTCTTCCTGAAAAATATTTTTCCTCTTTACCTTCTCTTGAGAAAGTAAAGTTGTTCAAATGCACAATCAAATAAAGGTCACAAGGAAATGATAGGTGCTATTCAGTCATTCTACTTGACACTTTGTTGACAGCTCTCAGAACATTCCCTCGCTACTGATAATCTGTAAAAATAATTATCAAGCAAAGCAGAGACTTGAAAATAAGACTATGGCAGAACTCTACTTTTTCCTGATTAAAAAACTGTCGGCATTCAGAGCTGGGGAGAAGTGGGAAGATTTGTATGAGACAATACGTTTTCTTAAAATTGGGAGGTGAGACCCTCTACCTTCCTCCAGAAGGTTCCAAATTGCTGAAACCAGGCAGGAGTCTCCTGATCAAGGCTCAGTGACAGGACAAGGAGAGCACTGAATAAAGACAGAATGAGAGTAGCAAGAGACTGAGTCAGGGGACCATGACCATGAAGGAGACAAGTCAAAGGAAGAGTGATTCTGGACTGATATTGTGCTCTGGGGAAGTAGCTGTGTGGGTGAATTAAAAAAAAAAAAAAATCCTTCAAGTCAGACCAGCTAATCAACTTTGATATGAAATTCCTCTGGCCAGTCTCTAATAAGGGGTGGAAGATGATCTGTCCTCAGACCTTGAAGTTGCAGCCTAGGAGGACTGCCCTGGTGGTTGATGTATCAGCCACTTTCCCCAGACATTCGCATCCTGTCATCCTGGGAACAATGAGGCCTTTGATTTCTCACATTTTGCTGTGTCACCAGGCCTGCAGTTCGGGGACACATTAACCCACGCAGAAATGAGGTTCCAGTTTGCAACATGCTGTCACTCTTAGGAGTCATGCCTGACCTCTGGATTCAGCAGCAAGACAGACCCCTAGGACACCTCAGCTCCTAGAGACTATCCCAGGGAAGAACTAGTGAAGCCAGCCCTTCAAATGCGTGAGGTGGCTCAAGCCATTTAGTTGGAATCCTAAAAAGAGAGGTGATTTTATATAGTACCTCCAAGCTGCCGAAGTAGATTGTGTCCGTGTGGGGCAGCTCACACCACCACTCAGATAATCCAAAATGGGTGTAAGAAGCACATCATCTTTGATGAATGCTTCCATGTGCCAGGCACTATTCTAGATTTTTATATATACTATTCATTTCATTCTCACATATAATTACAGGGTGGGCATTTCACAGAGGGAACTGGGGCACAGGAAAGTAACGTAACATTCCCCACGTTATCCAACCAGTAAGTGGTGAAGCCAGAATTCAGACTCAGGGCTGCACTCAACTGTAACGCCACACTTGCTGCCTTCTTTGCACCACAAGCATTGTTGCTTTGCCACCCTGAATATTAGAGGGCATACGGCAAGGGAAGGCTTCAATGGACTTGAAGGTGAGAAAAAAACAGGCTGCAGCAATTATCTCAGGGACATGCTTTCTCTGTATTTTCCATTATAATTTAATTAGTATACTCAGTAATCTTACTAAGTGAAGACAGACCCGTTTTTAACACCGAACCAAATGTAAGACCATAAACCACCTGTCAACACCCTCACGAGAGCTTGTCAAGATACCCCAAGGGAGGTGAAATGGGTGATTGAAGAGTGGGGTCCTGCCAACGAGGCTCAGGTCTCTCGCGCCCTCCAGTTGCTATTGGCCTGGCCCATGTTGCCTGGAGCACTATGACACTGAGCACCTTACGTTACGTTATGTGCCTCGGGTCCACATGCTTACTGTAATTATCAATTAGCAGCAATATTTGCTATTGATATAGCACTTCCAATCTGCAAAGCCTTTTCTTTGGGTGTTTGTGCTTGGCTGGGGGTTAAATGATTTGCTTATGGCAATTGCAGAGATACGTGTTAGAGAATACGGGATGAGCCATCGACAGAAAGGAGAGGAAGAGCCCCCCCAGATAGCTGTTTAGAGGAGTCCGGTAGCTCAGAAAGCCAGCAGCTTGATTTTATTTGTTGCTATTTATGATCATAAAAGTATTATTATTAATGATGCTCTTTTAGCTCCTTTGCAGCTTGAGGAATCCCCAAGGGTTTTGCAAACTCTGTGTGTGGCTTCACCGTTTTCATGTAGCCATTGCTCTTCCCTCCTTCTCAAGGAGCCTCTTGCTAACAGCAGAGCAATGACAGTAGCAATAATAACAGAAAAAGTCAAAATATAGGTATTATGTTTCTGCCTACCCCCACAACTCTGCCTCGTATTAAAAAGGGGCTGGTCTCTGCCCCCAGGATCCATTCCGTTTTCTTGGCAGCGAAAGGTGGTAGAGGTTCAGCGTGCAGGGGTGAGGGCTGAGTTCATGCCTGTTTGCACCACAAGGGAGAATTAGAGCAAAATGAAACTAAACATTAATAGGTGAAAGCCTGCAAAGAATTCCAGCTCGAAATCTTAAGATTTACTCCTGTTTGTTATGGTAAAACAGAGATTTTAATACCCTAAAGACACTAAAACCATAATACCAACTCTAAGAATGTGAAAAAAAGAAACCCAGGGTAAGGTCCTACAGTATGAGTTTCAGAAGAAATGAGTTGAAGGTTGAAATAGGAAAACACAGACATGTGCGGTGTGAAAGCAAAAGAAGTCTCAAGGCTAATAGCCGCATTAACAACTCTGAGAGAGCATCAAATTCCGAAGTCCCAAAGCCCCCAGCCCCAGAGCCCCAGGACCTTGCCTAGAGTAGTCTCTGAGGACTGTTTCCCTTTTGTTATTTAGCCCCGCTTGCTCTCTGCGGACTCAGAATCCTTATCTTGGAAATCATGATCATCTGCTGGAATTAGAGGGAGCTTTGTACTTACCTGGACATTTGAAAAGCTGTATTTGGTACTGGCTGTTGTTTGTGGCCAGAGAAGTTCTAGAAATAAGGATTTTTTAAATCCCTTCTTCCCCCTTAAAAAGACAGTAAGTTAGATTCTACGTAGTTTGGTAATGCTGTACTTTATTCTTAATGATTTTAATTATTTAACAAATACATTTATGGCTCTTACCACATGCCAGACACTATTTTAAGTACTTAACAATATCACTCATTCAATTGTCATAACAACCTTTAGAGACAGGTACTATGATTTTATAGAAGAAATGTACAGATCAGGAAATGGGGGCACAGAGACAGTAAATAACTTGCCTGAGGTTACACAGCATATGAGTGGTAAAGCCAAGATTCAAACTCAGGAGTCTAGCTCAAATCCATTTTTACCCCGTGCTCTGTTGCTTCCTAAATTATGCATGCAAATTCTGACAGGCAGTTTTCAGGGGAACACCAGGAAAATATTATCAAAGCGAAGGACAATGAAAACTTCTAATTTTCAAAAAGGGATATGCCTGGATATATTTTTATCGATTGCTTCCATGAAAATCTTATTTTTAAAATCATGGTGCTATTAACCTTAAATTCTAAGACATTTTTCTCCTAAAGGAAGGAGCTGCGTATTCATTAGTGGTACTTCATTTTGTCTTCTCTAACTGCATCATGACTTCAAAGAAGAGAGGGTGGGTGGAGGTAGGAAGCGTTTGACGTACACCAGAGGACACAGCAGAGTGTTAAGTCCGCACATTCACATCCTGGCTCTGCCACTTAATATTCATGTAATTTGGAACCAAGTCCTTAATCTTTCTGTGCCTCTGTTTCCTAATGTATGAGGGTGATACCATTACCTGCCTCACAGGTTGTTGTGAGAAATAATGTAATAATTGAATAATATAATAATGGAAGTAATACACATAGAGCACTTATAGGGCCTGCCACATAGTGAGCACCCATGAAAACTGGGAAACGGGGCGGTGGGACATATTGAGAACTAACTAGAAGACCTGAACCTGATAGAGCCAGCCGCCGCTTTCACTTAGTTCCCTGAGGGAACTTGGGTGTGGCACCGACCTCAGTGAGGACAACAGCCAGACCTGCCCAGCTTTGAGATGCCGCCTGCAGCTTAGTTTCTGAAGTCCTTGCCTCTCACCTCCTAAGGCCCACCTCAGCCACACCTCCCTGTGCACCCTGCTGACCTAGGTCAGGGCACTGGCCACCAGGGGCTGGCTGCTGCTTAGGCTGCCCCAGGCGATTTGGAGGGCTGATTGGCTTGGTCCCGACAAGTGCAAGGGAATGGAGTGCTTGTTGAAGCAACACTGTGAAATGATAGAGTTAATACAGTGAAAGATTTCTTTACCCCATTGCTTCATCACGCTCCCCAGAAAAAAAACAACCCAGTTAACAGTATGGAGACTTCCTTATCATTCCACACTTTTATATACTTACACACACATACACAGCTGTTCTTTTACCAAAAAAAAAAAGGTGGGGGGGGGAGTGTTGGGCTGGGAAGGCCCATACTGTTTACAGTCTTCCAAATATGTCACATACACCTTTCCAAGACAGAGCACAGAACTCATTTTTACCAACTTGCCTAATCTTTCATCGCATAAAGCTCCAAATTTTATCTAAACCATTACCCCAGTGATAGTCGTTTTGGTTTTTAGTGTTTGTGGTTGATTCGGTTTTTGTCTTTCTCTCATTGCACCTGCGAAAATCCTCATACACATGTACAAGTATTTCTGCAAGAAAGATTCTTCAAAATGCAACTGCTGCATCATAACATGTATGTGTTTTAAAAATTTTAATGTATGCTCCAAACTAAGGTAGAACCCATTTTCTAGATAAAATGCAAACTCTTGTAATGATTCTGGGCTATAGTGGCACTATTGCTATGATTAAAACAACTTTTTAAAAAGTCATGATTTGGAGAACATAGTATTAATATACAACATTAAGCAAACCACATCCTGTAATTAAAGCTTAGAAGATAAGTTAGAGAAAGACAAAAAGGACCAGTTCTCAAATACGTGGCTCCCTAATGACATGTTTTGGGAGCTCATCACTGCCTGATATTCCCCTGTGGTGGCTCTCACAATTACTCTAAGGAGCTGTTTCAGCCCCAGACCAGTTTGAATCAGAATTCAGAGGTGTAGCTTGAGTGTTCCAATGTTTCCGGGTGATTCTGAAACATGGGGAGATTGAGAACCATAGGTAGACTCCTTGCTAATTTTGTAATTTCTGCAGTCTTGGCAAAAAAAGTAATTCAACCATCACTGGCATGACGATTGTAAAAGAACATTCAAGGGCAATTGCAAATGTAGCATTTTGTAAATTTTAAATGGACAAAAGTTATAAAAAGATACGCAACCTCAAATATTTTTTATTCTCTTGAATTATTCATCACGTAGAAGATGGCTGTTCACAACGAGGATAAGAGTATCTGTAACAGGCAGACGTATGATTCCATAGAAATCAAACAATAGAATCATTTGGAATGTTGAAAGAAGAAAGAACACATGGAGCCAGGCAGGGTTAATGCATATACAGTGTGAATCAGATAGAACTTTCTGAAGCTCGAAACCATGGAAAAAATGCTTTGGACTGCCAGTGCTCTCCGAGCTTCAGTTTTTGGGAAGAGATGGGCACTGCTGAGTAAGAGGCAGATAACAAGGCTTGGTAAATGATTATTATGATAATAGTCATGAAGTCACATCACAAGAGATGAAAAAACAGTAAGAGAAGAGACATCAGCACAGGAGGAAGTCAGGCGAGCGGCCAGCTCCGGTTCTTGTCAAAAGCCAGGAATGATTCATAACGGCATAAAAAAGGATTGCAGAACAAGGCCTTGTGAGAGACAGTTACAGGATTCAAACCCAGTCCCTCTTCTGTGGGGAGCCGGAGTGTGTTGGCCTTTTTCTTCTTCTCCCATTGGAATCTTTGTGTCAAATGAAAAGTCAGCTATTCTAAACCAGCAAGGAAGATTTCATGCCAGTGTGTGCAACTGAATTGCATCTTTTCCTAATAGCTAGTGAGAACTCCGTATTTCAAGTCACACTGACTCTATAGCCTCATACACCATATCCAGTGATCCCTAAGTGATTTAGTATTTAAGATTTGTTTCTCTAATTTTGTTATAAAAAGTCTTCCATGCCTTTCCAACCTTTTGTTAAGATCAGGGTATGGTTATGAGAGCTTAGAAAATGTATTCAATAAAAACCCACAGATGGAGTCAGGCACATTTTGAAAAGTGGAAGAGCACCTGGAATCCTACAGCTAGAAAACAGCTCTCAGGACAAGGAAATACATGATAATCCTGTGGATTTCAGCATCCCTGCTCCTCGGTAGGACTGGGCCCCGGGGCTTCCAAGAAGAAATAAATGAGGAGCCCCAAACAAGCTAATCAAAGATGCTGCGTTCAATCGAATCTGAAGAATTAGCCCACAACCAGACAAATGACTTTGTGTAATGGTAAATAAAGCAAACCAAAAATAGAACCATCCGACCATGACTTTTCAATACTTTCAAGACAGTGATGGGAGCCCCTCATTAGGAGACAGAATACTCCTGCCTATATCTCCGACAAGCGTGTGTGTTGAGTATCAGCCTTGGGACCCTTGTTATCAAGATACTGATTGTAATTTTAATGGCGAAATCATCTTTATTTCTTCCCTCGAAGGTTGTTTAAAAAAAAAAAAAATCCCATGGGCTCTTGTCTACATCTTAAAACAAAATTCAAGCTCATTTCATTTTTTCAATAAATCCATTTTACCCTAAGAAGATGACAGAAGCAAAATAAGAATAGGGCATGAATGGGATAATGCTAGCACCAAAGCCTGGGAATTCCTGAGTTAGGAAAAGTATAAGGTACTACTTCAGAAAGCACTAAAGTTAAATTCCCTCAACACAGCATGTATGGAGAAGGATACATGGAGGAGGAAATGTAGGAAGTAAAGGTACACAGGGACCCGCCCTGAAAAGAAAGAAGGTAACCTGTAGAGGGAAGAAAAGTGTCACACAGAAGTGGAGAGCCTTGAAGATAAAACCGACGATGACTCTGCACCATGAAGCAAGAAGGAGCGCACAACACGCTCGTAGTAAAATCCCTTATAGCACTGGCTAAGGAATAGAGAAGAGAAAACAGGGCAGGGAAATGTCACAGGGTATACGTTCTAGACAATGTAGCTTTGCTATTTTAGTGTTGATTTTTGGTGTTTATTCCAAGGCACCGGCTTCTTGGTGGAGAGTGCCACACAGAAATGAATGTAACAACTGGGCAAAAAATGTTAACAAGTGCACACCATCAGTGGCTGTGACTGCCTCCCAACTGGTGCCACTTCCTGGTTGAGCCGAAGCCTCCAAAGCTCACACACCTGTTTGTGCGGGACTACTGCCCCATGAAAAGCGGTGGCTCCTGATTCTTTTTTTTTATTATTGTCCCTCTAATCTGATTAACCATAAGGCTGGTTTATATGTTTACAAACATTAAGATCTGGATTGACTTTGCAATCTTCATCTTCGCTCAGCCCCTCAACCCGTGAGCGTGGGCCACCTTTCCGCTAAGAGCTCACCTGGAAAGTGCAAACCTTTCTGACTTTGAGGGTAGATTCTCATTCACTTTCGCAGGTGAGTTTTGAAGGTAATGAAAATATGAGTTGGTGGAAAGAATGGGAAGAGGAAGACAAAGCACTCCAGAATTCCACTGTGCCCCTCCTGCTTTCACATCAACTACCACACATTTACAAAGATCTATTGTCTGTCTGGGTGCCATGTGGGGAGGAAGAGAGCCGCTACTCATCACCAACCTGGACCAGTTAACTAAGGAGCAGAGATTAAATGCCTGGGCAGAGGACTTACTCTCTCACCTTGTGTTTGCTGCCTTTTCCCGTTCCATTTCAGGGATGGTGGTTCCCACACATTGGTTCCCACTGCGTTTCTAACATAGCCAGACAGCTTTTAATGGGGAGAAAAACAAGAAGGACTGACAATCATTTCAGCCTTTCCCTCTAAGCTCTAAGCGAACATTCTTTTTTTCCTCCCCTTCTGCATTATCGTGCTATGGTACTTTAAACTTCTCCCATCATTAAGCCTTCTGAGTGAAATATTGAACTGATTAATGTGGCATTTTCCACTAAACTGTTTCAGGAAATGTTGCACCTTACCAGTGGGATGCTTTTGAATAATGTAATCTCCTTTGTATAATTAAAACTAAGTTCTGAAGTTAGTACCTTTTCTCCCTAGAGACACTCATCAAAATGTCAAGTGTTCCTTCTAGTAGAACTGCAATCCCATAATACAAACAAATATATTACCCATTGCTCCTTAGTAGCGAGAGGCCCTGGATGCATTTTTTTGTCACTTCATTTCTAAACTTGAACAAGCTGCCTAAGAAATATAGTTACCGGAAGCTGTCGTGACACGAATACCCGGAAAAGTGTTGGGCGCTCGCTGCCTGGCTTGCATTTCCTGGAGTTGCTTTTGACCGTTTGTCTTCAACAGATGAACTTTTTGTTGTTGTGTTGTTACTTACATGTAGAGAACAGTGTAGATCTCAGCGTCTTTGGCTCTCCTAGGTTTTCGCTTAGTTTTAAAGGGGGAAAAAAAAAGAAAAATCAGAGACGCACGCCCTCTTCTGGCGGAGAAGCATTTAAAAGAAGGGCCGTGCAAAGCTAGTAAGGTTTTCACTCGGGTCTTTGAAGACTGCTTGCTGTATGATGAATAATAAATGAATAATCGGTGTTATTGTCAGTGTTTCGAGCATTCTTCTCTCTAAGGACAGGGTGAGGACTGGCTTCAGAGAGTTAGTCCCAGCTGCCTGGCTTTTAAGAGCTCTAGAGTAAGGTGGGTGGGTGAACTGTTACTCAGTTGAACAGAAAGGTAATGAGAGGGATGCTCTCCTTCTGTGGAAGGATTTTTAATCCAAAACAAGGGTCAGTTCGTTCAACAGGTTCAGGAGATTTCTCTTTTTTTTTTTTTTTCCTTTTTTTTAAAATGTTTTATTTATTTCTAGGAGAGAGAGAGAGACAGCATGAGCAGGGGGAGGGTCAGAGAGAGAGGGAGTCACAGACTCTGAAACAGGCTCCAGGCTCTGAGCTGGCAGTCAGCACAGAGCCCGACGCGGGGCTCGAACCCACGAACCGCGAGATCATGACCCAAGCGAAAGTCGGACGCT